GTCTTTCCAATGATATTTTTAACTATATCAGGAACTGGGAGAGGGTCATCAAGTTCCTGTATAAAGTATAGATATTAGATTATAATTTACCAAGAAAAGAATGGAGATAAATGCAAGTAATCACTAATTACAGCTTCATTAGTGCCCTCCAAGAGTTCAGTAGCAGGAGTTCCGATAATTTGCTCAACAAAACTATCAAACAACATAAGTTTGCTCTCCCCTGTGCTGTCCATAACGTCTAGATGAAGCCAGTACCTTAGATAGATAAACAAATAATGAGAATAAATACTATTAATCAGGAAGTCATAATTTAAATTTAAGATAGTTTACAAAAACAATCACCTTGCTTCAACAGCAGAAACTTCTGCATTACATTTCTCACATCTGTAAAATAACTTCTTGGCACCAGAGCTAAGCAGTTTCTTACTTTGTACTACCTTTTTGTTACATTTGATGTGTGCATAATAGTACCAGGAGTAGTCCAAGTCAATTTGCAAAATGGTACAAAAGATTTTAACCTTCTCAACCTTGGAAAATAATAAAGAGTGAGTAAATATTTTATGTACTTCCGAATATAGTAAGAATATTGGCGATATTAAAGCTGTAGAAAATACCTCATAAGAAGCCTTAAGCTCAGCAATAGTCTTTAGAGGTAAACCTAAGGACCTCTGTTCACGCACCTTTAGAGGCTGGAATCTAGGCTTAGGTCCCATGATAGTCAAGGCAAGTCCATCAGATGGAAGCCTGAAACACCACAAACACGAAAAAAAATTCAGTCTAATACAAAAACAAAATTGTTTAAAAAGGAATGTAGAAGACTCACATTCTCCTAAAGTCTTCAACTTCCGTCAAAATTGGATTGATTAAAACGTCCGAAGCATCAAAAGCATTAGAAATACTCCTAATATCTGCAAGTCATAATGGTAAACAATGATAAATATATGATGATCAATTTTATATAGGGTCATGTAATTCATGAGTAATAACATTACATACCTTTCCATTCTCCTAACTTCGCCCACCTTACCAAAACTATAACGACAGAACCAAGAGATTCTTGCGCAACTTTGCTAATTTGGTCAGCAAATTTACCCCAGAGTGAGCATGGTAGACGGTTATCACTACACAAACGAATATTAAAGAATTAAAAAGATTAACATAACCAAAACTTACCACCGATATAATAGAGTTGTGTAAAAAAACGAAAAATGCTTACTCAGTGACTCTCAGCTGAAAATCAATCTTCTTGGTAGGCTTGCCTTGGACGTCAATCTTTTGCGCTTCTCCAACATTCACCAATTGACCAAGGACATCTACAACACAATCGTAGATGTAAAATCAGCAACTATAAATAACTATAATAGATAGGATACACAAACAAATAAGTATAAATAATACTCACCAACCAACTTGTTTTGATCCAAGTTACCAGCAATAATAGTTGTAAAATCAACTAAATCAAGCCAAACCTCATTATTAATAGATGGTGAGGGAGAGAAGACAGTAGAGTAGTGGAAATTTATTCTGTAGGGATGAATTGTTGATCGATATTGTCCCGTTGCTTTATTAACTGAGAAATCATCAATGATTTTCCAATCTCCTTTCTTCACATAACGCTGGAATTTGCTGATGTGTTCCTTTTTGATGCCTGCTTGAATTTTGTTACCCTGTAATGGAAATAAGATGAGTTAAAACTTCCCTCACATATATTACAAAAAGCATTTTAAAAAGTTTCAATGTTTCTTACAGCCTCATCTGCTAAAATCATCTCTAATGACATGCCAGAACCTTTTGTAAAATGAATCCATGAATGAAGTATTCTAACTTGAATACACCAAGCTGTCTTGAAAGGCTTCAAGCTGTTGACTGGTGTGTATCGTGTAAGCTGAGTCATTTGTTGGTGTTTTTTTTTGCAGGTTATAAGAAAAGAGAAAGAGAGGATTTTGGTTTGTATTATGCTAAAGGTAAGTGGCTTACTTATAGTTCTAGGTAGTCGATTAGGATAAAATAAATTTGAAAATATATTAGTTAATTTGTAAAAGGAATATCCTAGATATATTCTAGATTAGTAGAATATAGAATCGTAACATATTCAACAAAGAGATTTGCCAATATTTTTAAAGGATTTTTAGGAAACTAACCTAAACCATTTTATCTTAATATAACTATTTGTTGATAACAAAGATTTTAAAGAAACTGAAAATATTCAGAAAGATCCCGTGCTGTAGTAATACACGAATTCGAATTTTAACTTTTGTTTCAGTATATATCGAATGATACCTTTTTAGAACTATATACATGAAAATAATAGTTTATTGAAAATTCGAATTATATTATATAACATTTTTCAATGATATAACATTTTTAATTTTGAATCTTACATTTTGAATAACATTTTCATTTTCAAATAATGGATTACTATATAATATTTTCAATAACATTTTCGAACTATATGAGTAGTATAATTGAAAATAGGATTTTTTATAAATTTAATTTATATAAAATGTTTTCAATGATATATCATTTTCATTAACATTTTCAATAACATTATTCTAAAACATTTTCGACTTATATATTAGTATACAACATTTTTACTAAATGTGTTACATTTCCGAATTGATTACTATATAACAATTTCGAATTATATTAATTATGTAATATAGTTATTATCGAAAATATATGAATTATATAAATTATAATTGTAATAAGTTTTTAATATATAAATTAATTAATTATATAATTTATATGAATTATATAAATTATATAAACAAAATCTTTTAATATCTTTAAACCCGTTGACCCGTTGACCCGTTAATATATATTAGTGACATAGAATAAATTTTATGATTAAAATTCTCTAATGGCATATATTGTAATTTCTTACAAAATTTAAGTTATGATCCTTATGATGTACTTCCCAAATATTAGTATAAGATACTGTAGGACTTCTTTATTTTTTTATTATTATTTTTTTTTCTTTGAATTAGCAAAACGATTTGACCACACAAAAGAAAACTAAAGTCTCCACAACGTGTCTCACGTGGATCAAAATTTAAAAACTAATTTAGTTATTCGTTTTCCATTAGATGTGTATACACATAAAAAAAATGCATGTTCTACAATTTATGTAACATTAACTTAAGAAAATGGAAAAAAAAATCCGAAAAAATCGCTATCTATTTTTTTTGCAATTTAATACATGTAGTATTAAATTTATAATAAAAATATCTCATTTAATTTCAGTTGTCTTTTAAAACCTTCGTTTTTAAAAAACAGGTAAAATCGTATCCCCGAATTAACGGATGTTAACTTTGGTAACGGAAACACTAACTATGGTTAAAACTTAACCATGATGTTTACGTGTATATATATATATATAATCTCTTTTCATAAATTTACGAATATATTGTCATAGTCTGGTGGTTAAACGTGGTTTGCCTATCCTACTGAACTTAGGTTCAAATCCTTCTTACTGAACTTAGGTTCAAATCCTTCCCTACGTGGTGAATAAAAAATCTGTGTGTAGGGGAGAGAGAGCTCGTGCTCAAGATTTTGATTTCTGTCTCTTCGTTATCGATTTTGAACATCCACATTCTGCGTAGATCTGAAAAAACAAGAAAAACTCACGGGTTTGGTTATCACGATTTGCTAGGTGATTTTGACATCACGATTTCAATTGTTTTTGTTGGAGGTAATTGAATTCCGGATCCATACGGATCTAATCTCGGCGAGTCAATTCATGGTCAACATTTTTCAAAAACTATTCGCGTATATCTGAAGACGAGACATTGTTGTCTTTGTATATCGCATTGAATTTTTCTGGGAATTTGTAGAAAAATAGATCCAATTTTTCTCAATTTCTAAAAACTAGGGTTTACAGTGAGGAGAGAACAAAGAGGTTTGAAGAAGACGAAGTCAACAAAAAAAAAAATAATTAAAACATCTAGAAGAGATTGAGAAAGGGTTCTGAACCCGAGCTCATGAAGAATTCCTACCCACGTTTAACCACCTGACTAAAACAACATAATCATACAGCTTTGAAAACAGATCATATATATATATATATATATATATATACACCATGGGTTAAGTTTGATCTGCAGTTAGAGATTCTGTTACCAACGTTAACATCCGTTAACTCGGGGATACGATTTTACCAATTTTTAAAAAACAAAGATTTTAAAAAGCAATTGAAATTAAATGAGATATTTTTATTCTAAATTTAATACTACATGTATTAAACGGCAAAAAAAAATTATATATTCTTGCTTTCTTTTATTTTTTATTATTAATGTTAACTATTATCAAAAGCTTTCTTTTTTGGGTGTAAATGTTAAATTTTATACCATTTATTTTTGGTTGCATATTACTTATTAATCAACAAAGTGGAAAGAAAAAGAAGACAGACAGAAATTACTAAACAAAAGGGATAATAAAATGCAAGAAGAGAAAGAGAGGAAGAGAGCAGATGATCACGGAGAGAGCGATCAACTGACTTGCGGATGGCTGGGATCGAAAATGAGACCATGGAGAAGATGCGGGAGTTGCATTCCTTCCAGCTAGCTGAAACAGAATCCTGAAGGATGAGCTTGGTGATGATCGTATCTGGTTGCGAGGTTAAGAAGCTTGGACAGGTCTGGCATGGATCCAACCCGCAACCAAGGGAGCTAAGAGGGTTTAAGATGAACATACTAGCGAAAAAAGACCAAATCGCCGAGGAGAAGTTGCATTCAAAAAACAGATGATCGTGAGACTCAAGGGCGGAGCTGGATAAGACACACGTGGCTGGAATAGACATCCCCCAGTGCCTCAGCCTATCCCTTGTTCGAAGCCTTCCTCGCAATGCAAGCCAAGTAGAGAAAGCAAATCGAGGGACAGCCTCTTTAAACCAGACTACACTGCTCCAAGGAACTAAAGGAGAGTGAGAACGAAGCTATTCCCAAGTGGCCTTAGCAGAGAAGATACGCGACGAAGCACCAGTCGCATTACACCACAAAAACTGGTTTATACCACTCTATTTTCATGCTATTTTAGAAAATCTAACTAGATCATGGTTGCAACAAAATACTTAAGAAGGATAACACTATGTAAGTACTGTGTGAAGCTTTTAATCTATAAAGTGTGATTTTTGCGTTAAAAAAAATCAAAATCCCATTGCAATGGGGTCAATGAAAATGGTTGTTCTTCAAGGACTTAAATCAACTCTATGTTATTGCGCTTCTTAAGCCACAAGTGTGCTTGCAGTAGTAGACTCGCTGCAAAAGCAAGAAAAAAAGTAGGATCAATATTCAAAAGTATCGATCATCGACATCTTTATGAAAACTCTTTGAATGTTGTTTTAAGTACTTACTACTTCCAAACGGGAGGAAGCTTTTTGGTCTTCTTGTAATAACGAGCAAGTCGATGGATTCTACTCTCAAGAAGAATCAACCTAAACTTAGAATCCTTATCTTTTCTGCTCCTCTCAAGATGCTTACGGATAGCAACTGCTTTCTTGATAAGATGATACAGATCTTCAGGAATCTCAGGAGCAAGACCTTAATCAAAAAATTAAAAGAACTCTTAGTCTATACCAAACAGACACTAAAGAAGACTCTTGACGACAGGATAAAAAAAAAAATACCATGAGCTTTGAGAATTCTAAGAGTCTTGCTTCCGGTAACACTTTTCACTTGCGCGATTCCGTGAGAATCACGAAGAATAACACCAATGTGAGATGGTGTCAATCCTTTCTTAGCAATCTTGCAAATGGACTCATCAACCTATACAGATCGATCAACACAAACCACAAATTACTCTCAAAGCAACATCAAGAGACCATCAAACACAATTACATTACTTATATCAACAGATTAAATCTCTTAAAGAAACATTATCACATTAACAAATTCAGTGAATCTCAACAACAAATAATCACATTAAGGTTATAGAAACTCCTAAAACTTGTTCTCAAATCCTAAATGCAGATAATTCTCAGCTTCTATCCTAAACAACGATTAAAGCAAATGCTCATAAGAATCAAATTTCGACGAATCTTACTTACGTCTTGAGGTGGTCTCGTGACCCAAGACGGTGATGTTCCCTTACACAGCAAAGCAGAAGCTGAGAATCCCTTACTACACAAACACAAAAACAGAGATATAAGAGAGAACTAGTATGAAATAGAAATCAATTCTTAATCAGATACGAGGAAGAAACAAACCCTCCACTGTACATACGACCCATGACGGCGACGGTGAACGGAGCTTTCTCTTCTATGAGATCCTTCTTCCTCCGGGAACGATTGCGTTTAAGTTAAATCCAAGCCTTAATTTGCTTTCTATGTAATCGTTTTATCTCCAAAACCCCTTATGGGCCTTTTTATAGGCCCATTATAAATGAAAAGCTACAATAAACGGAAGTATTAAATGACGTCGTTTCAGGCTCTTTCAAATGTTGGGTTCTTAATTTCTTGCTCCAAACTCAAAATTATTTCCTAGGTGAATATTTTATGGGAAAATTAGAAATAAAAGATAAATATTTAAGTATTTGTCCATATATGAATTCTATGAACAAATATCAACTATTCCTAAACTACTCCTTGCATAAGATTAAACCAATTGTTTCAAAAGTAATTAAGAAAAATATGTATTAAAATGATAAAGAAGACATGAAGATATATAAAATGTCAAAAATATATTATTTTGTTTTCGTTTTAGATGGATATAATTTGATCTATAAAGTTTAGAATATGTCTTCTGAAATTAGAATGTATATTCTATACACTCTACATGTTCTACAAAATTTAGATTATGTATTCTACACACTCTACATGTTCTACAAAATTTAGAAGTCATTTCTGTTCTACGGTATTTAGAATACTAGTTTCTACGACTTTTAGAATACATATTCTATACTTTGTTCTTTGTTCTACAAAAATTAGAATATGTTTTCTAACATTTACTCATGTTCTAAGAATGTTAGAAAACATATTCTTAAGATTTTTTTTTATTCTATAAAAATTAGAAAGTACATTCTATCTAATTTAGATTGAAAAAAAAAATCTTAAAATATGGAAATTGAATATAGTGAATTTGATTACATCTGCAAATTACAGAAGTTGAATTCTGAATACTTTAAAATTCTTTATACCTAAGTGAATAGATTATAACACAAATTAGAATTTTTCTTTATACTTCACACTTTTTCCTATAGATTACGCTTAATTTCTTGTCTCAAAACCCAGAAAATTAGTTGAATTTTGAATACTTTAAAATTCTTCATACCTAAGTGAATCAAAACCCGGAAAATTAGTTGAATTTTGAATACTTTAAAATTCTTTATACCTAAGTGAATAAATTATAACACAAATTAGAATTTTTCTTTATACTTAACACTTTTTCCTATAGATTACGCTTAATTTCTTGTTTCAAAACCCGGAAAATTATAGTTGCGCTCCATAAAAAAATTGAAATCAAGAGAGAGAGATAGAGAGAGAGATTGAAGAAGAGGAAGGAAAAAACATTATTTAATATGGCGCTATTAGAGAGGAGAGAACAATTACGAAAGCTTAACTTTGATGAGCAAGAGAATCAAAGAAGAAGAGGATATGAAATTATCTACGGCAAAACAAATAATGGAATGTAAATAAATGTTGATTTTGTCCTATATTTTTTCCAAATTGTTTTTAGAAAGAAATCAATTTAATTTTAAATTTTTTTAATAGTTTAGTAAGAATTTAAAAGACTAGGGGCATATTGGGATTTTAATTATATGAAATCATATATGACCAATATTAAAGTATATATGACCAATCATGAATATAGAATGCATAGATGGACAATAGTTTAATTATTTGTCCTTTATTTCCAATTTTCCCATATTTTATTATCACTCTATTTGTTATTGTTAGGTTCATAAATTGAGTTTTACATGTTAACAATAGTCTTTACATTAGGCATGTCGCATGTGACTATTATTCGGGATCCGCTCCGATCAAATCCAAAAAAACAGCATATCCGCTGAATCCGGATAGTGATTAATGGATCCGGAAAAAAACGAATTTGAATATCCTTGATTTTAACGTTCGGATATCCGGATTTGGATCATTTAAAAAATATTAAAAATTATCAAATATTGATATTTATATTTTACAAAATTGATCAAAATAAATTTGCAATACTTTTATTTTATAGTATCATATTTTATTTTTCTATAAATACATTATAATATTTTAATTTTATCATTATTTTAGTATTTTTTTCCTTTTAGTTATTTTTAACGGATCTGGATATCCGCAGATATCTTGATGTTTGGACGGATATCTGAAGTTTAGATATATGAAACCGGAAAGTTAAAAGTCAGATCCATGTGGATGTCGGAATCCGCAATACAATTTTAAGATGTGTGTCGGGTCGTCTAGCCTTGCTAATTCGAATAACAATCGTGAAAAAGAAAACAAAAGAGTGAAGTATATGTATCTGTTTATTGCTCAAGAATTCCGTCCCTCATACAATGGTTTTCGCTTTCTATTTATAATTACATGATTCGAAACCGAAGTCGCTCATCAAGCCGCAGATCTCACCTTCATTATTGCTTCCGTTTCGAATCTTCCCGATCTAGCAGATCCCGTGCAACCCGCTTTTCATTTAACTCGTGAGATCCCGACGTTTCACTCGAACTGGGCTGCAACTTATTGGGCCGCTCTTTTCGTCCCCTAGACCGGGCCGACGGCCCACTTCGTCTTATTGATCCACTATCTTTCCGGGCCGGATCCGAACTGCGGGATCCGACACCAACAGTTTGCCCCCCAAGTGTTCCGAAGTATTCACTTCGAGATACTTTAAATAACAAATTCTTCTCGGGCTCGGAGATTTCGTAATTAATTCCGCTTTCCCCGGGATTTGGTTCCTCGACCGAAGTGACGTTTCGAGATCTTAGGGTATAGATTTTCCAGCGGATCGAGGGATTCTTCTCGGGATGAGGGCGGCGTTTCGAGTTCCTAGGGTTTCCATATTCCCGCTAGAGACTCCTATAAATATTCGTTTGGACTCCTCGGGTTCTGTACAACCGCTTCAAGCTCATTCATACTTCGTCGTCTGCTTATTTAAGGTACCGAACCCTCTCCTCTTTTCTCTCTTAACACTCTTCCGATTACACTTAGTTCTTGCTATTTAGTTTTGGATTCGTGTTAGTTCACCGCCCTAGATTAGTTCCGTGCTAGATTTAGGCCAGAAATCTAAAAGATTTCTCAGATTTTCAGCCCTCTGCTCCGAAATCGTTCGCTGTTCTTCATCTCCTCTGCCGTGTTCTTGATATTCCGGTGAATCGCAACCGTCTTCCGAAGAACATCGACCGCTTAATCTTCCCGGTTTCTGGGTTTTCACGAAGATCTTCGAAGTTGTTCTTGAAGCGTTTTTTGAAGTTATTTCCAAATCTTCAGTTCCAGATCTTCTCACGCTTCCAGATTTTCCTTGATTGTGTTATGGCTCCGAGGAAAAGCAAGAAAATTCGAAGTGAATGCTTCATCATGGAAGGTGAGTTCGGGAAATACTTCTCCTCGGACCTCGACGATAAAAGGCTAGCCTTTATGAAAGGCGTCTGCGAGATCCCACGTCAAGTTAAGCTGATAGCTCCAGAATCAAAGGAATCTCTCGAGTTTCCTCCGATCAATCACAGCTGCGCCTTCGAAATATTCTTCTCGGAGTGCGGTCTATCTTTTCCTCTTCCGGGGATTCTGGTAGAGCTTATGCACGAACTAGGGATTGCCCTACCTCAACTCTGCCCAAATGTAGTTCGGGTAGTACTCTGTCTTCAGACTCTTGCTGAAGAGAATGGATACCGGATCACGCTCTCCGACATCTTTCAGTTGTACACAATGAAGAAAGGGAGAACTTCGGGGACCTTCTTTCTCAGTCCGCGAAGTAAATTCAGAGTCTTCGCGGACTTCCCTGAGAAAGACGAGAAATGGAGGAAATCATATTTCTTTTTCCCTGTTGACGAATTTTCCTATGGTCCGAACACAGAGTTTTTTGTCCGAGAATGGACACATCGTCCGGGTTAGATGGCTTTTTAGGGATTGTATTGCATGTCTTTCTCTTCCTAACTTTGCTTTTCAACGAACTAACCCTTTTCTTTTGTCTTTTGCAGTCAAGTTCCCGAAGAAGCCACTTTCTCATACCTTTGCGGAACAATTCGTAAAGATTTGCAATCGCAGCGACCTCTCGTGGGAATTGTTCACCTGCGAACGCATCCGGAGTTCGTGTGCCCGAATTTACTCGCGGTCCGACCTCATTTCTTCCACCCCTCCCTCCTCCCCTGCTGTTGCCACTAACATGTCTCCACTTTCCTATCGCGAAGAGAAGAGGCTCCAGAAGGAAAGGGAAAAGGCGAGAGAAGCGAGAGAGAAAGAAGATAAGGCCAAGATGGTGAAGGCCTTAGATGACGGGAAATCCAGATCTTCATCTGGTAAAGGGAAGAGTTCGGGTACCGTAGATCCGTTTTCCGAGTCGAAGACTTCTGATCATCGTGATCAAAAGAAGGTGTCTTCAGGAAAAGACATAATCCGGATCTCGGATTCTCGCTCCTCCCGATCTTCTCGGGAAAAAGAAATTTCTGAAGGAGGCCATAGTGCAACCTCCTCAAGAAAACGCAGGAACGAGGAATATGAAGTTCCTTCCCTTCAACGCAAGAGTCGTTCTCGTCTGAACGACGAGAAAAATCCTTCCGAGGACGCTGGAACCAGGCTGGGGTCAAAACCAGAAGAAAGAGAAGATTCACAACGGGCCCCGGAGTCCGACCTGCCAACTCAGCTTCTGAGAACCGGGGATCCGTCCGTCAGGAGATTCCGATCCCTACTGGTAAGTAGAGTCACTTCGTATTTCTCTCACTTCGACTTCATTTTGACGGTTTTTTTTTTACTTTAACAGCTCCTCCGAAGTCACCAGCTGACTTCATGAGGAACTTTACTCCTGTTGGGATGAGGATTCCTCCCTTTAGTGACTTAAAGAAGGTCAACAGAGCGAACTACTTTCGCTTCGCTGATAAACTCGGAGAGGTAATACTTTGAACTTTTCTCCTTATATAAAAATAAGAACTTTTCTTTGTGTCCTCATGAATCTTCGTTTTGACAGTTAATGCTCGAGTACAACACCACCTTCTCCTGCCACGAGTCCCAGCTCTTTCCTGTTAACGAGCTGGATGGCCTCAGGGCTCGGGTTGCCGAACTCGAAGATGAGATCCGTCAACTCAAGGAGATGGAGGAGGAAAATGCCAGGGCGGTGGCAAAGGCGAACGAGATCCGGGAGCGAATGCTGGAGGCCGAGGGTCGCTGCAACCTTCTTGAGATTGCCAA